ATCACTGTCACTCGTCAGGTCTGTTGTGCTCGTGCTATATGTTATGGCATGCACTCAAGATTAGCTTAATGAAGGATTACTTTTCATGGTTCACTTAAGGGGCAATACATTTAAGTTACATAATGCAAAAAGAATAAAGCAAGGATGAAAATGCAAATAATGAAATTAGCTCTGCTATGCATGGGGCTAGGAAACTAAGTATCGCATTAGAGACACCCAGCTATAAATCTTTTCTGTATGTAATTCTAGTTTTTGAATATCGTAGGCATATCCAATATATACAGCCTCAACTTGCTGTAACATCAACTGCTTTAAATTTAAAACATGATCTTGTATTACATAACAAACTCTGGCAGACAACACGTACGCACGTATGTCACTGTGCTTCAAATGATACTATCTTCAGGAGAAGATGATGCATGCACTGCCATGTGAAGTTTTAGAATCCTTTACTAATGATTACACAATGCCATATCCTGAATGGTTTGCATGCAGGAAAAGGCATCTGAGCTTAAGTTGCCCTTTTTTTTATTGTAACTAAAGCAAGCTTTTGAAAATGTAAAAAATTTACAAACAATTTTTTGGGTTTTTCTTTATTTTTTTTTAATTTTATTTTTATCTCTATGTAAGTTGTCCCAGATGCACTTCTTACTTTTGTGTATGATTTGCACCTATATATTTCATCAAAGGTTTTTCATTCAAAGCTTTCCCCTAAGAAGAGTAGTCAGGTATTCTAGATCCCTTGCTGAACTGTTTTTTGCCCATGGCTGTGAGCCTCTGTTTGTTTTGACATTTGATGAGAACATGTTATAAATGTGTTATTAAACATACCCACATGTACTGATTCTTATTATATTTGTCTCAGCTGTGCAATGTGAAAGAAAACCACTTATAAAGTCTGCAGAAGACAGTAGTGGGGAAAACCACACAAGAAGTGCAAGTTTGTCTCCTACAAATCAATCAATGCATTCAGTTTTTCTGGAAAAGACAGAATCACCGTGTTTTACACCAAACAGCCCATTGGCCTCATCACCAGTGAATGGCACACCTCAAATGTCTCTCTCTCAATTCCTCTCATCAGATCAGAATGACTGCATTCTAAATCCTGAACATCTTCAATTTAAATTGAATCCTCCAACATTGGGTGTTTCTACATTATCTATGGAGTATGTTTATGAAATAGCCACTCGTCTCCTATTCCTGACAGTCGATTGGGCACGTAGCATACAAGCCTTTCGTAGTCTTGATAATAATGATCAACTTGTGTTACTACAAAGCACTTGGTCAGATCTTTTTATGCTGGGTGTTGCACAGTGTTCAAGTTCTTTTCCCTTGTCACCATTATTGACACTTGCTGCTTCACACATGGAACAAAGTGAAGGAGGTGGAGATCGAAAGTCTCCTGTGCAAACTAAAGAACCAAACATGGTTGAGAAGATTATGAGTGTAAAGGACCTCTTGTTTAGTCTTGAAAAGCTTGAGTTGGATTCTGTGGAGTATGCATTCCTGAAGACAATAGTACTTTTCAATGCAGGTATGCCAAATACTTCTAACTTCATCAAAGTATAAATGTGATCGTACCAAAAGTCATACCAAACAACAAAACTGGATAGCCTCACTGTGTTGTGTAGTTTGTGTCTCAATCACTGAATCTTAATAAGACACATGTCATGCCAGATTCTTCCTACATGACTTATAACACTAGTTTCCATGTGGAATTTGCTCATGTATTGCTGTAATGAATGATTTGCCATTTTGAGTGTTACTTGGTTTTAGAATCTGAGAAGTAAAGAAAGCGTAACGCAATATGTGGAAATCTGCGGGCTGAGTTCAAGAGTATATCATGTTATTTTCCCGTTAGTTCAGGTCTTTGGAGACGATAATTGCAATCAAGTGAACAATTTTCTATTTCTTGAGTAGATTAAATTATTGATAGTTTATTTAATTTCCTATCCCTTTGATTAGTTTGATTTGATTATCTTATCTCTAAGTCAATCTAATGCAAATGTTCTCTTTGTCTCCTTCACAGACTGTTCAAGTTTAAAAAATCCTAAACAAGTTGAAAGACTTCAAGAAAAGGCTCATTGCGCCCTTAAACTTTATGTTGAAAAACAGCGCCCAAGCAATCCTGAACGGTTTGCAAAGATACTTTTACGGCTGCCAGCTACTCGGGTTCTCACGCAGCGAGCTGCAGAGGAATTGTTCTTCTCGCCGTTGATTGGAACGGTCAGAATCGAGAGTATAATGAACAATATCATCTCAAACTCTTTGACGTTTTAACATTAGATTCGTTCGCCAATATTATACATAAAATTTTGAATTTCACATTACTATTTCTCAAATACGCTACCTTAAATAGGGCTGTTCCATGACAGACCCTGGATGCTACAGGCGACAAACAGTTGCCTTTTGTCTTTTGGTATAAATTTAATTTTATGAGAGCTTCTAAGTGCCGGGCACCTCGGATTTCTGGTTTTAGAGTCTTCTCGTTTCCGTTGATTGATTCTTCTGAAGGGTATAGGTTTGTGAACTTAGGCGCGTTCCTATTTGATGTTCTTTCTAAAGGAGGGTAAGTCGCTTCGCTTAGGGAAATTTTGCATACTAGTTATAGACAACAAAAAACAGTGGCTCAACAAACCGAAACAGAAATCCTGGAGGGATATGGATTACTGGCAGATGCATGCAAAATTTTTGGAATTGATGTCGACTTGTGTGAAAGTGTCACCGATCGTCCCTTCTTCTGGTGCTCGTAAGTTGTCTTTGTCACCGAAACTGTTGCCTCTAGAGGGTAAGCGCTAATCCTGAAAAAAACAAAACAAAACAGAAAACAAGACGAAGAAAATCAAAAACGAAGGGTGGATTATGTCGTACTTCTTGTTTCTTCAATGCACTTTTTCAAGCCCTTTAGATTCTTTTCTACAGCGCTCTTGCAACATTCTTTGTTAAGAATTTTGAAGTGCTAAATGAACGTGTTAGGGTCTATAGAACGATGGTTCTTTATGTATATATTGTGTACCTGAGTCGATTTCGAGTTTACATGGGAACGTTTAATGAGAGAGAGATTACTTTTTGGCAAACTCCCGATCACATCCCAGATGAGGGTGATTTTCGAGCTTAATTTTCAATCAAAATTGAAATTAAGAAAATCGGAAAGAACTATCATCGACGGTAAATTACAGTTTGGTTTTCAATTTTGCAATTCATTGCCTAATTGGCCCAATTAAGCCCAATATTTAATATTTAAATATATGGAAGTAGCTAGTTACTATCGACGTCATAATGAGCTAAAACCCAAATCAGTCTCTATCTTTTCTTTCGGCCGAAAGAAATAGGTAGGCATAATCATATTAAGAAAAATTCAGACAAAGCTTTATTTATTATGTTTAGGATCGTGAGAATAATTTTAAATTTAAGTACAATGAAATACCCGGTGCGTTGCGATATTCTTAATCACGTATTTCCTTTAGAAATGAATCGGCTTTTGTCTCCTGCCGGGGCAACTCCTTAACTCCGTTTAGCTGGGTTTTAGTGGATTACAGTGTCATTTGAGAATCTTATAAGTCATAGCCCCCTCTTTAGAAGACATGGGAAAAAAAAAGAGTAGAGCAAAATAATGATATTCCGCTTAATTAAGAGTTGTACAGCTTGGTATTACTGATAGAGTAGTAAAAAAAAAAATAATTCTGTTATTATAATTTTTATATATTTATTCAATATATCAGATGAATTTAGTCAGCTATATATATTGTGGATGCCTTATAAAAAGTGTAGTTTCCGAAATCCAACGCTGTAAAATGTTGTTTCTAAAATATTTTAAGTTAAGAAAATAAGACGTTGTGTTCCAATTTAAAAGCATAAAAGCATTTCCCCACATTTTTAAACTTGAAACAGTTCGATGTAATTAGTTATCAGTTAAACGCCGAAAGCGTGATGTCATGTGTGCGACATAACCTCTGTAGTTCTTAAATGTCTTAATATTCTGTTCTAAGTTGAAGAAATATTTTTTGTAGGTCCACCTAATCTCGGAGTCGATATTTAGAGAGGATCGAAAGTTTTCTAAGTTTTCTTCCAGAGAGTAAGAATTCACGATTACTCCTATTGCTTACAGTTAACTGATGACGCCACGGTTCAGTGTTAACTGTAAGAACTACAGACTATTAAAAATATTGGCTGAATGACTTGCTTTTCGTGTGTGAAATCGTTCTTCCTCTTTTTTTTCGTGCTATGGCCCAGTAGGTATACTTTGGGTATCCATTACGTCTAGACAATGATCACATGTAATCAGGAAAGTCAGAATTCCAAGCCATCGAAAAACCGCAAAACTGACAAAATTTCCATCACAAATGAAACGCCGCACTGAAAATCGCACAAAAAGTGAAAAGACCCAGAGATTGGACGGTAAAACAGCTTTCTTCATTGACAATCAGTCATTAAAACCGAAAATGTTGGTGAAACCCGGTTTCGAAATGGCCAAAACCAAATGATGCCCAATTTCTGCTCATCTAACAGTATGCAACTCGAAGCGAAACGGAAGGACACAATTAAACGAAACCCAACCCACATCCGCATTCCTCTTTACCTGTATTATATTCAGTCGCTCAACCGTTTTTATCGCTTCAGTTTTCACTGACTGATCGACTAAGGCCTTAAAGCATAGCATGATAGGCTGTCGTATGCTTAATGTTCTTTCTTGCATACAAAATTGAAACTTCCTCCTCAGCGCTGAATCTGACTCTTCAATAACTGTAACTCTCTCGTAATAGCAGCCGAGTGTTTTATCCACGCGTGAAGCACGTAACACTCCTGTCACACAATAGCCTACGTGTAGCCGTACCCTCCCCCGCCAAAGTGAAACGGAAGGTAGGGTTCCCTCGCCTCCTTTCCACCCTGCAGGGGAGGGTGCGGCTACACGTAGGCTAGTCACGCAACACGTAGTAAGGTGTGCTTGTCACGTGATCAACAAGGTTGCGAACTTATTTCGAAACGTGATCACATGCACCATCAGTAAGTCACAGTCGCTGAGAGGAGGGCATAACATGGATCCAGGCAGCTTTGAAAACATCAGGCGGGCTGTTAAAGAACAACATTTCAAGGATCGTAAGGTAGAGGCACTGAAATCGAGCCTGTCTTGTGCTTATGGATATCTATCTGGCGAACAAGTCGCTCTACTTATTGCCGAATTTACGTTCGATGATGCGAAGTCGGATGCTCTTGATGCTTGTGCTCCACGCATGTACAGCATTACATGTTCTCAAGCTGCATCTATACTCCGTGCTTTCGACTTCAAAGATCGCAGAATGAAAGCTATGGAAGCGATCTCGCCCCACATCACCGACAATGACTTATCAGCACTGGAAAGCGCTTTTAAATTTCCAGATGAAAAAAGGAGAGCGAAGGAAATTCTTATGAATCGTCGGCAACCGGGATTTCCACCTCAACCAGGGCCATGCCCGGGTGCGGGGTTTCCGGGTGCGGGGTTTCCGGCCCCGGGTTTCCCTGGGATGCCAACACCCCAACCTGGAGCCTACCCACCACCAGTGCCAGGAGGCTCACCTTACCCTGGATCAGCACCTTTTGGAGGAATGGGAAATCCTTATGCATATCCTGGTCCTGGAGTGGGTCCTCCACCGTATCCAACTGGCACGGCCCCACCTCCTCCACCTGATGGTGGCCTTGGTGCTGTGGTGCATGGAGTTCTAGGAGGCCTATTAGGACCTCGTCATCCACCCCACGGTAATCACCCATACCCGCCTCCACGCTGAACCGTCAGAATGAGTGGTTATACTTCACTGTTCTACTTCATGACTGATTTAATTAACTTTGAGTTTTACCTTCAAACTGTTCCAGATTAAAAAAATCGCAAGTCAAGCTAACTAGCATAAGCAGTGTTTGTTGTCCAGCTTTAAAGCTGTTTACAGAGGAACACCAATAGCAAGATTGACTGAGAACTGTTCAAACGGATACCAAATTTTAAAATACTTTGCTCGATTTTTAACTATTTCGAATACAACGAATGACATCATTAAGTGCCATACGGTAGGTGGTTGACGAAGTAGCGGAGCGAACCTCTACTGTTGTGTTTCGATACATGATAATTGGTTTCACCTCGGGATTTGTTTCGAACGAATCAGTCCTTAGGGAGCAAACGTTTTTTATTTTTAACCTTTTAGGTAGTGGTTTATCTTGGTATTAGTACTCCATTTTAGAAGAACGAAAATTATAATGCAGCATAATGGTATTGAATTATTTAAATTAATGAAACGAAATGAGATCGTTTCAGCTTCCTGCTGAGTCTGCCAGATCATTGACGTTAAAGATACGTCTATTTTTTTCAGGTGAACCTGTCCACGGTAGAAAGTCAATGACGTAATTAAGTGAAATATTTCTTTTCCCTTTTTTTTTCTTCTTGTTTTAGGAACGCTTTTAAACGTCCCCGTTAGCTCTGTACCCGTGCACGTACAAATCACCGAATGTCGCTCATGTTATCAGTACATTCCTTAATTGTTGTCCAAATTTTCATCTATGATAAAAATCTAGTTTTTTAAATACGAGAATAAAAATGATATTGTAGTCAATGATCGTCTTTGATTATACTATTTTCTGTGCTTATTTTGAAGCAAAACTTGTCGAATATGTATTCGCCATTTTTAAAAGTCATTCCACCTGTAGTCACGCAATAGTTATCGGGGCAAACGGCACTTGCTCTGCAAGCAGGAATTTCGTTACCAGCTTACAATACCTGCTCAAATAAAACAACTTCTTTGGTCATTTTGGGGGAGTAATTTCATAAAGGAAAATCAAATGCCGTAAAGTAGGGAGGACAGTGGGGTTGTGATATAGCGATATTGGACAATATTTCTTGCGGTATCTGGAATGCGGATTTTTATTGAAAATTCTGCTCACAGCCCTCCACCGTTTTCCGGTCTTCGTTTGTTTTGGAAACGGGCTGAAACTGGAACTCGAACAGCATGAAGATTCTCGAATCCGTCACGCGAGTTTTAATTGTTATTTTTGTGTCGTTTTCCCGAAACGTAACGCACCGAGTGGTTTCGGGACGATATCGAGTTCTGTCCTCGCGAAGGTATATTATTCCAAAATCAAATCATCACTTAACATTTGGAACAGTCGATGAGTTTTCATGGATTTTTCTCGAAGGCCTGATAAATTTCTCTACCCTTTCCCTGAAAGGAAGGGGAAATATTTCAGTCATTATAAAGTAAACTTAAAACGTCTCTCAATTCCTCTCGGCTCCATCTGATTTGTTTGCGGGTGGGTGTATTAAAGATAACACTTCGTCAGAAGTTTCAACATAATTCTTCTCACTCCTCGACTCATATGGACCTTACTGGATAACCAGAGCGTTTTAACATCTAAAAAATAAAATAGAATTATTATTGCGTGACAATTCAACTGCATATCACATGAATAAGAAATTTCGCGCCTAGATGGCAAGCTAGATTCCAGTTTCCTCCTTTGAACAATGCGAAATGTGAGGAATACACATCTGAAGAATACACTTAATAGAGTGAGTAACTTCGTCCGTTGCTTATAAACAATAGGGGGCTAAAATAATCAGCCTTCTCTATAAAATGCAGTGTAAAATAGTGCTTCTGCAGGGCAGCAAAAAGTCTGAAAAGATACCTGGCTAGGTTACATTGAAAATATACCTATACCTATTTTGGGGGAGTAATTTCATGAAGGAAAATCAAATGCCGTAAAGTAGGGGGACAGTAGGGTTTGTGGTATAGCGATATTGGACAATATTTCTTGCGGTATCTGGAATGCGGATTTTTATTGAAAATTCTGCTCACAGCCTTCCACCGTTTTTCGGTCTTCGTTTGTTTTGGAAACGGGCTGAAACTGGACCTCAAACAGCATGAAGATTCTCGAATCCTTTACGCGAGTTTAATTGTTATTTCTGTGTCGTTTTCCCGAAACGTAACGCACCGTGGAGTGGTTTCGGGACGATATCGAGTTCTGTCCTCGCGAAGGTATATTATTCCAAAATCAAATCATCACTTAACATTTGGAACAGTCGATAAGTTTTCATGGTTTTTTCTTGAAGGCCTGATAAATTTCTCTACCCTTTCCCTGAAAGGAAAGGGAAATATTTCAGTCATTGTAAAGTAAACCTAAAAGGTCTCTCAATTCCTCTCGGCTCCATCTGATTTGTTTGCGGGTGGGTGTATTAAAGATAACACTTCGTCAGAAGTTTCAACATAATTCTTCTCACTTCTCGACTCATATGGACTTTACTGGATAACCAGAGCGTTTTAACATCTAAAAAATAAAATAGAATTATTATTGCGTGACAATTCAACTGCATATCACATGAATAAGAAATTTCGCGCCTAGATGGCAAGCTAGATTCCAGTTTTCCTCCTTTGAACAATGCGAAATGTGAGGAATACACATCTGAAGAATACACTTAATAGAGTGAGTAACTTCGTCCGTTGCTTATAAACATTAGGGGGCTAAAAAAATCAGCCTTCTCTATAAAATGCAGTGTAAAATAGTGCTTCTGCAGGGCAGCAAAAAGTCTGAAAAGATACCTGGCTAGGTTACTTTGAAAATATACCTATACCTATTTTGGGGGAGTAATTTCATGAAGGAAAATCAAATGCCGTAAAGTAGGGGGGACAGTAGGGTTTGTGGTATAGCGATATTGAACAATATTTCTTGCGGTATCTGGAATGCGGATTTTTATTGAAAATTCTGCTCACAGCCCTCCACCGTTTTCCATTCTTCTATTGTTTTGGAAACGGGCTGAAACTGGACCTCGACCTAGAATAATCGGCCTTCTTTATAAAATGCAGTGTAAAATAGTGCTTCTGCAGGGCAGCAAAATGTCTGAAAAGATGTCTGGCTAGGTTACATTGAAAATATATCTAAATTTGCTCCACTTTTTGTCACCTTGTATCAGAATGAAGGCCTCTGTCACAGCACTTGTGATGTTCATTCTATTTATGGACTTCAGTAAAGTTGCTTCCGTCTGGGATCTCCGAAATGTTAACGTTCCACCAAGCCATATTCCTTATTTCCTGAGGAAGAAAGCCGGTAAAATGGGACTCTGCAGCAATGGAGCTTGCCAGGTAAATATTTAGCTAAAAAAGTTGCCCAACTGAGTGTGATGTACGTGTGATGAAGATTTAACTGTATGAGTTACTAGCCTGTGGCCAACTATAGCTTACTCTTCAGATGTCATCGCAATTAGGTATACAAGCAATTTTAAATCGGACGTCCAAAGTATATTGCACGGGCGCTACTCTATTGGCAATTTTTCTCACCTATCAGATATAAAGCCAAAACCGTGTTCGTTTTGGGTTTTTTGTTGTTGTTGTTTGCATTTTCCAGCAATGCAAGCAGTGCCTTTGATCCTATTTGAAGTTCCCCTAAGTTCTATATGAAATGATAATTTGTTCTCTAGAAATTCTTGTTGAGCTGAATTTCATTAACCAGGAAACAAGTGTTAAGAAAGTGTTTTATATATTAAGCAAGTATTTTTGTATTAATACTAAATGTAACTGAAATTTTATTCTAAGGATGGAGAGTCAAAAAACATGCCATGTTGGGGATATGAAGATGATTGTAATCCACTGAATCAGTTTTCCAAGCCACGCTGTATTCATCTTCATCAGCCTTGGCAAGTATAAGTACATAATTTTGATATTGAATGTCACTAGGGTAAATATAACTTTTAGTCAGTTCTTGAGGAGTGAGTCAGTTCAGGGTGTTTGTCTCCCAACTGTCTTTCTCGGTTGTTCAAAATAAGTTGTGGATTTGAAAAGAACACTTTGTTGGAGATAAATTGGAAATTTCTGCACAAGCCTCCAAGGATATAAAAAAAATATCTTTCCAACTGATATCAAGGAAAAACAAAATTCATCTACATGAACTGAAGACCTCAAATTCTGAAATTCTTTGTGGATAATCTTCCCAAGTAGTTGTCTATACAGCCTGGGTTACTTTGGTTATCTTTGAAGATCTTCAAACTTAACCCTTTTAACCCTAAGAATCAGACTAACATCTAATTTCTCCCTACATGTCACCTCTGAATCAAAACATTAAGGTCATGAGAATAAAGGAAATGATCAACAACTGAAGATATTCATTACTGTTAAACAAATTCTCTTTGTAGAGAACAGTATAGAGAATATACATAGATGAAGATAACCTTGAATTTTTTGTATGGACCACTAAAGATTGAGTTATGACAAACCAAGTTTTTATTATTGTTTTGTGTGATGATTCAGGTTTCGCGAAGATGTGTTGAGAATATACATAATAATGTTTTGGGTGTAAAGGGCTAAAGTCTTTGGAAGTGGTCATATTGAATAGAATGACTGCATGCTATAGTTTTGATTTCACTCAATATTTATCCTTTTGGGAAGTACTCTAAATCAAATGATCTTTTTTTTTAATATATTGCAGCTTATTCACTTGTAACATCATACAATTATTTTAATTAAGGGCTAAAACTATGGAGGATCAAGTCCAGTTGTTTTGGGAACAAGGAGACTTTGGTTACATCAAGAAAATGAAAAGTCAAGTTATGGAATTGTGTCAGCCCAAGGAGCTGGTATGGGTTCAATTAAATTAGTACATCATAAAGTTTTGCTTCAAAATTGATTAAGGTTTAGTAGAAGTATAACTTGAATGTATTTTTGTTTTTGGTAAAACATTACAGGGAAGTCTTTGACTTTAATTTAACTATTTATCACCATTATTTATGTTTATCATAATTGATTTATAGGGAGATTCATCATTGACCTGCACTGCTAATCTGTGGTACTGCCATGCAACAAACATATATTTTGATTTAAAAAATTTTAACCCAGATGCTACCAATGACAGGTTTGTTACAGCTTACCATTGAGGTTCAATTCACGACTTCATTATCATAGAAAGGTCAAATAATGATCTCTATATTTTTAGTATCTTAGCCCCTTTAGATGAAGATAACCTTGAATTTTTCGTATGGACCACTAAAGATTGAGTTATGACAAACCAAGTTTTTATTATTGTTTTGTGTGATGATTCAGGTTTCGCGAAGATGTGTTGAAAGAGGGGGAGGTTGGAGGTCACTGTCATTTTAAGAAAGACTTACACAAGAATCAGAATAAAAACAAAAGTCCTTTGCAGTCATGGTGAGTAAAGGAAAACCAGGTTGTGGTAGAATTGTATTTATTGTGAACCATTTACCTCTCAAGATCTGGTTGTTAATTCTCCCCTCTAGCGGCTAATTATTTCCCAATAAATTGGTGACAATAATTCAGTGTTAGATCAAGATAACAACTTCTCCCTGATTAGTTTGAGTATTCTCATTACCTGTCTGCTGAATGATGTCTGGATATTATATGGAGAAATTACATGTTAATCACTTTTGAGATTTAAAGGGTTAATCACTGTTCAATTTTTTGTTTAACTCTACAGGTTTGCTGAACTAGAGCACTTTACATCACTTTCTGTTAAACCCTTACAGGCTGGACTTTGTGATGTTATAGTGAATAGACCAACTGTTTTTATGAAATTGGATGCAGGTACACATTGTTTTGAATCTGTTACAGTAATCATG